TCTGTACACACGCGTCTACTTTACAACGCAGAAACGGCAGCACGAATTTCTGAAAATGCAGGGAATTCGAAAAATGAGCCACTTTTTCACCGCCTCGCAGCGCCAAAGGAAACTGAACAAAAACGCTGTCTTCCAGCAAAACTGTGAACAGCCGTTGGCAGCGTCTAAAAGTCGCTTGACCAGCGACAGCGCCGCAAATTCTAAACCTCTCGTCGCCAACGGGGGCACAACGCCGACCGGGTGTTCACCATCGACGGCGAAGGGCGATGCCTTCACTCGCACCAAAAATGACAGTGATTCTCAGGTTGCATCTTCCGCTTCAAGCAAGACACCGTCAACGGCTAAAAAACGGTCGTGGTCACCGGAGCAAGACGCCAAATCTAAGCGTGTTCTCTTCGATCCGGAGTTTAATCGATCCATTAGCGGTACCAGCATGAATCATCTGAGGATACGTAGTGATGGTGATAATGGCAATGGTGATGGTTCCCTTCGAAATTGTTGTATACTGCAGAATTCGGACAGTTCATTTCCCAAAGTGGCGTTCGGCTACTCGAAGCCCTCGCACTTGTTTGGAGATGACCATAACGTCGTGTCCCGCACGGAACCGCCGTACGGGTCGAAGCCAGCCGAGTGCCTGGCCAGGGACAGCGACAACGACGACGACGTCGACGATGACCACGGTCCACCATCAAGTGGTTATCCGTCGTTCAGCAACGCGCTTCGTTCCGAAGCATTAAGCCAGGGGTGTGACGTCGACAGCGAGTCAGACTTGGAGGTGATGACGACGAAGCGATCTCAACTGAGCGCTGGTTTAACGAACCTGTTGGCGTCAGCCTTCGCCATGACTTTCAGCAACCGGCTGGCGACGCTCAGCAACTGTCCCAGCCAGAAATCGCCCCCGTTGAGTTCCAAGCCATCAGGTGACTCCTCGACCAGGTTCAACTTTGGCCGGAAGAAAACCGAGGGAAAAGCCGCGAAAACCCTCAGCGCCATTCTTCTGGCGTTTATCATCACCTGGACTCCGTACAACCTCATCGTATGCATCGAGGCGTTCATGCCGAACACGGTGCCCCTGCCGTGGTTCACGTTCAGCTACTACCTGTGCTACCTGAACAGTACGGTGAACCCGCTCTGCTACGCGCTCTGTAGTCCGTACTTCCGTCAGACGTTCGT